AAAATTGCCCATATCTCACGACCGGAAGTGACGTCATAAAAACGACCAAAAACCTATCAAGATCGATTGATAAGCTACTACATATAAAAATTTCATGTAAATCGGCCGAGCCGTTCCCGAGAAATCGCGTGCACAAAATCGGTTGGAATAATAATAATAATAGGGAAAAAGAAACCTAAGAATAACAGAAAGGTCTTCCGTTGGAAACGGAAGACCTTAATAAGAAACCGAGTAAAAACAATATGTTCCCAAACTCCGTTTGGGGAACATAATAAGTTGAAATAAGCCCCATTCCTTATATTTTTTTAGTGTAGAAATAAGACAATTTTTCCTCCTGAATATAAAGCTTTAAATTGAGTATATTTTTAAAGTATCGTCAAGCGGAGCTACACATTTTTGATGTTACTCATTGTACGAAGTTATATTATACAAAAGGGGTTAATTTTTTACCTTATAAAATGATGTGAAACAACTGCAATTAAATTATTTAGTTTAAAAAAAACAACAACATTAATTACAATAAAAAAAATCGAAAGGCTAAGATATATTTTTTATACATTTTATTTTTTCATTGTATTCTAAGCTTCATTTAACTTGCAAAGTCATGGAGTCACAAAAATATGTTCTGAAAAAAAAAAATCAGGCGTCTGAAGTCTTAAAATTGTCCCTTTAAAGATAAACGTGCTATAAGAAAAATCATAATAATTCTTATAATTATGTATTTATAAAGGACGTTCAATGATATAAAAAAAGTCACATCGATTTTGATAAGATTCAGATTATTCCATAGCCTCATATGTTATCGGTTATATTTTATTGCTGTCATTGTAGTCTTAGCTTTATTTAAATTTGCATAGTCATTGAGACACAGAGATATGATCTAAAAAAAGAATTCTGGCGTCTTAAGTTCTGGCGTTTTAAATGTTGAATCACTTAAGAAATAAAGTCCGCGTTTTCGTGAATGTTGCAGAATAACCTCCGAGGTCGAGAAATGTTGTTTGAAATATAAAATCCTTTGAAGTTTTTTCAATAACCGTGGTAGAATGTCATTATATTCTATGCTTTATTTAAATGTCATGGTGACACAAAGATATGATCTGTAAAAGGAATTCTATTCTGGCGTCTGGAATCTTAAACCAATAATCACCAGATCATATCTGCAAAATTAAAAAAAAAAAAAATTAAACCAAGTACGAAATGCATAAATAATTACATTTCAGGGTTATTCCTCATATATAATGTTTTATGCATGTCATAAAAGATTACAGGTCTGTTCACAACCCTACTTAATTTGTCGAGTTTTAAAACCGATTTACAATGCATTTCACAAAGGCAGATAATTATATTTTTTGAATGCAAATATTTTTTTGTCACGAACAAGAGGAAAAGACATTTTTCTCTTTGCTTGTAGTGCGTAATTATCTAGATGGTTTTATATGTCTGTATTTAAAGATTATAACTTAAAATGATTACCATTTCTTTAATTCGTATTTAATTGAAGATTCTTATTGATGTTCTTTTTTTTAGCTCTACTTGTCGAAGAGTAGAAGAGCTTATGCAATGATAAAATCTCCGCCTTCCTTCGGTCTGTCTACCTTTCAGTCTGTCTATCTGTCTAGATCTTTATGTAAACACATTTTTTAAAATGTTACTCGTCCTAAAGTTTTAATTTGTTTTCAATTTAACTTGCAAAGACACGGAGACACAGAGATATGACTTGAAAATAGAATTCCGACGGCTTCAATCTTGAATCAAGGATCGACAAATCATATCTGCAAAATTAAACCGGATAAGAGATGCATAAAAATAATACATCAGGGTTATCCTTGATATATAATTTTTTTGATATATGTCATAAAAATTTGCAATTCAATTTTCATCCCAACTTTTTTGTTGTCTCTGTCTGTCCGTCTGTCTGTAATTTTTTTTTTCAAAAATACTACTATTCCTACACACAGTTATACTTAACCCAGATACGTGATCATGTGTATATTGTTTTTCAATGAACGGTTTTGCCATAGTTACAATAAATAGAAAATGCTACTTCTACTACAGTTTAAGTCTGATTTCCATATAACTTGGCAAAGAAGTAGACTCCACAATGATACATAATTCTTTTTATAGGTCCCAATGAACGTTGTTATTATGGTAATTAAATAAAATTAGAAATTTCCCCAAAATTTTTTAAATTACTACCCCTCCCACACACAGTTTTACTCTGATTTCAGTATAACTTGACACACGAGTAGACTTCATAAGATACATACATAATTTTCTGTATCAGTTTTTGATTTCAATAAACGGCCGTGGTTAATAAAAATTTCTTTGAAATATTTTCAAAATGCTCTCTTTCCTATCATTTTGGGTTGATTTAAATATAACTTGGCACACAAGTACACTTTATTCTGTATATTATTCTTTTATTTCGAATTCGATGAACGATGTTGCCATGATAAAAAAAAGATGTTTTTGAAACATTTACAAAATGCTTCTCCTCCTAAATTGTTTGTGTGATTGCAATTTATCTTGCCAAAAAAAACTAAACCAATGACTTTCTTTCATTTATTACTGTTGCAAAGTTTTACTCTTAAGATCAAATGCTTCTTTTATCTTCTTTCACGTTCTGGTTTAATATCAGAGCATGCAAGACTCTTTACATTGCATCATTATCATGGTTAAGCTATACTTAGACAGCATTTAGGATATGTGGTATAATACTGACTTGGAACCTCAAAAAGACAGAAAGAAATTTCAGAGAGGCAATGTTTTATTATCTTTCAAACACACACCCACACACCCTCACCCACACCCACACACCCACACACACCCACACACCCACACCCCCCCCCCCCCACACACACACACACACACACACACACACACACACACACACACACACACACACACACACACACACACACACATATATATATATATATATATATATATATATATATATATATATATATATATATATATATATATATATATATATATATATATAGGAGAGAGAGAGAGAAAAGAGTGAACGAGAGAGAGTTTAATAGAAAAGTTGGTTCAAACATAAATTTTGTTAATGTTGAAAGACTGTGTTCTGTAAAACTGAAATGTATCATTTACATGATTTTTACAATTCCTTAAATTTTTGTATAAAGAAGGTATAATATTTTAGTCGAAAGTATGGACATTTTATTTCTATGGAAAGGAAAAGGATACAAATATGTCTTTCAATTTCAAGACTGACATTCAAAAAATTCTTATTATATTTGCTTTCATTTTTACAACGCTGCTATTATCTGTTTTCTTTCAATTGCTTATTATCCTATTCTCTTTAAATATAGACTGGAGAACACGTGACGCATGAAATTTATCCACAGGTAGTCCTAAGCAAAGACTGAGACATTTAAAGAAGGAACGACAAAACATACCATTTGTTTTTACAAAGAACTCAAGGTACGTACATGTATATTGTTAGGTTACCCATTCACAATTTATATATATATTTTTTTATTCATGTTAAAGGAAGATATACACAAGGACCTTTTACTATGTAATTAGTAATTAAAAAAATATTAAAGAAAATGTATGAGGCATCAAAAGGGCCATATCAGACTTTGCTTAAGTAAAATATTTCCCTACATTTGTTTTTGTAACTGTTTATGTGAATTACCTACTATTAAATAGCTTAATGTAAAAGAATGCTTTCTTAACATGTAAAATATTTTATTGGTTCGTATACCTCGTACATTGCTTTGTTATTATATGCTTTGTTAATACATTGTTCTGTGAAGGTAAGAAAAATAGAGAAATATGACCTCAGTCAGAGACTTGTTGTCGTTATTATGACGTCACAATAAACGTCATCATGAGTATATTATAAAACATCATGAAGAAGAAATGAAAGTGCATATGGTTTACTCGTTTTCTGTTTTTTATCTTTTTAAAATAATTTTCATATTTATCGCTTAAGATCTCTCTCTCTTATAAGAACAAAAACTTAAGTTGATTGTAGACAACGCCAAACTACACGATAGAAAAAGCTACTTTAGATTAAAAAAGACACAAAAAGATCTTATTCCCTATTCCGTATCTATACACAATCTAAAAAAATCGAGATTCAAGCCATCAAAACCTACATGCAAATTTTAGAGAAGATCCAAGGATGAAAAACGTTTATCGTGAATTTCAGTAACGAACTACCGTCGTTGAAAAAAAAATGTCCAGATAACAGTTTGTCACTTTCGTATTTTCTATTCCGACTTTTGTTGTGTAAGACGTCAAAAATGTTTTAAAATAATCCTGCAATAGGTATGTATAATATTTTTCCTGTTCTGATACGTAGCTCGCTGCGGCTGCAACTACAACCTTGTTTGAGGTGTTGGTTGTGACGTCACAATGCCGCTGCACGCGCAATTACCCTCCGGTGAATACGTATTCAAATTCAGTGAATATGGCGTGTTAGGAACTGATTGCGCTTGAATAGATTATATAGGAAATATAAAAAGACTATATTATAATCATTCTTCTTTTACCTACGAGGAATCTTATTTGATAAATGTCATTACATGTTCATGATGCAGCGAGCATTATATTGTCCTAACCGGGGACATATATATATAGGCACCGAATGACTGTCCAGCGTCAACAGGTTCGTTAAACCGAGTACCAGTGCACAGTCCTGAGTGGACATATTAGAACATATGTGCTGAAAACATATTTCGTATATCGGGGAAACGAGCAACCAATAGCATGCCCGAATGCGTGTCCATCGACAACATATTAACTCCCTGGAATATAGGCAAATCTTTCTGAATGAAGATTTGGATGCTTCTGAAAATAAGCAATTCACTACTTATATAATTAAAGAAAATCCAGTTTTTGGTACAGTAAAATACCCTATAAGTGGAAATTTCAGCGAGACGCAAATTTACCGATTTGACCTTAAATATTGGTATTTTAATTTTAGCGAGAAGCAATTTTAGCGACTTTGAAATGCTTACTTAAGAAGCTTTAACAATTTCAACGCAATTAATTTTTAGCGATATCTAATTTTACCAATCTCAGCACCCTCGCTAATAATTCCAAAATTAAATCCTCGCTAAAATTTCTGCTTATACGGTATATCTAATGGGAAAAAATCAGGACTCGCAAGACTCGAATAGTGATTTTAATGGTTAAAGCCTTCTGTCTTTAAAAATTTGAATATAAAAATGCTTCATTACGTTCAAAAGCATAGATGTCAATGCATTGTCCTTTGTAGTGAGATTATAAAGTTAAAAGGGAGCATCATAATTCGCATCATTACAATCACTTATAATTCAGAAACAAGTAGAAAAAAAATAAAGGTAACTCTGAAACAATTTATTGTTTAGTATTGGATTAAATCGTTTAATAAAGACAGTAATCTTCTTTCGCTACTCAGGATATTTCACAATCATTCAGCATTTTATGAAATTGAAATGATTTAAATTTCACTTTTCCGCAGGTAGCTCATTGCACGGCGTATACCTTTTGCTAGGGTCCCGAATAAGTCGTTTGTGGACTTGCACTCGTGCATTCAGTTTGCTGGTTTTTCCTTTATACAAGTAGTATTCGTCACAAGTTGGACAGATTATGCAATAAACAACATTTTCATATTGACAGGTCATGTTGGTGTTTGGTGTTATTATTATTTTTTTTTACAACATTTTAAAGTTGTTTTCGCAGCCCTCCTCCAGATATTCAAATTTTCCACAGCATGTGTCACGGCACCTTCTTTTCGGCATTGTTCAATGCAAATTTTGCTCTGGTTAGGATTTTCTTTAGAATGGATGCCTGTCTTCTGCAATGAATTATTTCTGACTCCTTGATAACGTCTTTTAGATTTTTGAGATTGTTCTTAAATGGGGAATTATCTCCTGGCTGTTCTCATAATAATGTGGTTGCATGGATTGTGCTTTACAACAATGTCGCTTTCTTTACTATCATCCTCGATATTTACAAAACGTGACTGTTTATTCTAAAATGACTTTAATTTTAGCAACTGAAACGAAATTTCACACATTTTCCCCTGTTATAATCTGAAGAATTTTATGCTCTCTCTCTCTCTCTCTCTCTACCAGGGTGTTTGTTTTGAACTTTGTTTCATTTTTTTCATTTATTTACTATATTACTTGGATTTTTTTCTTTAAGCAATATTTTCCCATGTTGTAACAGCATAAACAGATTTTTTTAATTTCTTTAGAGCTAAACCCAGAGATTTTACGTCTTCAAATATTGTTCATTGAAGATTTTAACTCTGAGCAGAATTGGATAAAAGCATGTCCTCTAAGGGTAGGTTCAATTTCATTATAGACTTGTTATTATAGTTTTTCATTTTAATTTTAATTCTATAATGGAACATTGAGATATAAAGCTTCAAACAAGACAATGTTTAAAGTATTTATTTATTTATTTATTTATTTATTTTTTTTTTGGGGGGGGGGGGGGGTTCTCCCGATCCAGGATGGACAAAAAGTCGGCCGCTATGTGTGATCGTAAAAATTGTTTGCCTCAGAAAATTTCAACGCCAATGCTTCAAAATGAATGCTTCAATTTTTTTGGGAGATTAAAAACAGTTTTAAGTTGATATATTTATAGACAGTCTGTCGGGAGAGGGTAATCAATTATTAGCTTACCTGAGCCGAAGGCTCAAGTGAGCTTTTCTGATCACATTTTGTCCGTTTTCCTTCCGTCCGTCCGCCTGTCTGTCTGTCCATCTGTCCGTCTGTAAACTTTTCACATTTTCGACTTCTTCTCAAGAACCACTGGGCCAATTTAACCAAACTTGGTACAAAGCATCCTTGGGTGAAGGGGTATTTAAATTTTTAAATAAAGGGCCAAGTCCCTCCACAAGGGGAGATAATCAAGAAAAGACAAAAAATGGTTGGGTTAATTAAAAAATCTTCTTCTCAAGAACCACTGGGCCAATAAAGCTGAAACTTATATGAAAGCACTCTGGGGTAGTGTAGATTCTAAATTGTTCAAATCATGACCCCCGGGGGTAGGGCAGGGCCACAATGGGGAATCAAAGTTTTACATAGAATTATATAGGAAAAATCTTTAAAAATCTTCTTCTCAAGAACCACAGGGCCAGAAAAGCTGAAACTTATGTGGAAGCATCCTGGGGTAGTGTAGTTTCTAAATTGTTCAAATCATGACCCCCGGGGGTTGGTCGGGGCCACAATAGGGAATCAAAGTTTACATAGAAATATATAGGAAAAATCTTTGAAAATCTTCTCAAGAACCGCAGGGCCAGAAAAGCTGAAACTTATGTGGTAGGAACCTGGGGTAGTGTTGTTTCTAAATTGTTCAAATTATGACCTCGGGGGTAGGGCGGGGCCACAATGGGGAATCAAAGTTTTACATAGAATTATATAGGAAAAATTTTTCAAAATCTTCTTCTCAAGAACCACTGGGCCAGAAAAGCTGAAACTTATGTGGAAGCACCCTGGGGTAGTGTAGATTCTAAATTCTTCAAATCATGACCCCCAGGGGTTGGGCGGGGCCGCAATGGGGAATTTTTGAAAATCTTCTTCTCAAGAACCACTGGGCCAGAAAAGCTGAAACTTATGTAGAAGCATCCTAGGGTATAGTGTAGATTTCAAATTGTCTTAATTATGATTATTGGGGTAGGTTGGGGGCACAATATGTATTACAAGGGGGAAATCTGGTAAAGAACAGAATGGTCAAAGATTCTCAGGTGAGCCATGTGGCCCATGGGCCTCTTGATTTTCTTTAAAGGTGGTCTTAACTAAATGCGATTTCTTGAATCAAGGGTCTGTTTTATGAAAGAAATTACGACTAAGACCAAACTTAAATTTTGCTTTTTACTTTTTAATATATATTGATTCGAAAATGCTTCTTAACTTTTTCAGAAGATTTTAACAAAATATGTGTATGCTATCAATTTCAATCAGAACACTTGTAGTTTGTTGTGCAAAAATCTTACAATCAACTAATATTTGTGGTCTTATTAGTTAGTTCTTAATATGTAAAACGGGCTCCTAGATCACGACGTCTTGGAAATATATTGTACAGTTCATATTACTCTTCCCCCTACTAAATCATTCCCATTTGCAAAATTAAGGTAAAAAATATTTTACGCAAAATAAATAAGAATAATAATTTTTTTTTTAATTTATATCGAATAGCTCGATAACTCCAAAGATATATATCTAGTACTGTAAACGTATTACATTTGGTTGTGTATTCATTTTAGCGGTTAGGTGGAAAGCAATATCCGCTAATCCAAATACAACGCTAAATGTCTGGCACATATATCTTTAAAGAAGAGCACTAAGGTGTGCGCTAAATCAAATCCACGCTGACTTGTTCAAATTCTAATTTCCGCCAAATATCGTGCGCGCTAAATAAAATACTTTATGTAACAACATTTAGTGGGGTTGGATGTGTTTGGGTAAAACAATGACTTTTATATCTGAGAAAATTTAACAAAAGGGTTAGTGTTAAACCATCTATTGATTAAGCCTTCAAAAGTCAGTGTCAAACAATTAAAGCTCAAAACATTATTAACTAAATTAGTGTTGCCCTTTTATTTTTGAATTTTATACTTTTTACAAAATATAATTAGAAATTGCTAGTCAATATTAAATATATAAATCACTCTGAATTGCGTTTACTGACAGTCGAGCTGCCGAAAAAAAAATCTCAAGTTACATTTAACCTGATTTTTTTTATTATTAAACAAGCAATAACAATCTAAAATAAAACATCTAAATTGTTCGGATACATGTAATGATCTAAGAAAATTGCAGTTTTCATTTTTTTTACAACAACTTTAAATGTAAAAAAAATCCAAGTAACTGTCGAAGGTGTGAATCTTTTATTCAAATCATTCCCTACACTCTCTTATCTTTCAAGTTAATTCAATTGACGTGCTAAGCACATGACTTTTGATTTAAAGTAGTAAAAGAAGGGGTCATTTTTATGCTATGAGAACCTCAATATAGAAGACGGAAAAAGAGAAAATTGTTTTAGTTATCAATGTTGAAATTGATGTCAAAAGATGTGTTTATTTTATTAGGGAATCCAGAAACAATTCTTCAAATTCAAAGTAAATTTTGTATAATCGTGTTTTCCTTGTAACTGGATTAATTAAATAAATAAGAAAATGAGGAGATATTTACATGTAATCAATGAAAATTGTTCAAGAGAAAGCCATCTGTAAGAACTGCCTAGTAGCAATCTAAGTCGAGACAAGTGTAAACATTTTCTTAGCGGTACGTGTAGCATTAATGTGTCTTAATTAATTATTTTGCATAGAAACTTCTATACGTAGCCTTAACTCACTTGTGTGCATTGATTAAATTGTGTAGTTACATCTAAACTCTATCAACACAGACATGAAACAAGATATGTTTGTGAAACACTGATGCCCCCGTATGGCAACATAGTAAAGATTAAACTTTTCTTAGATGCAAATTTAATATATTGGTACCAAAAGTAGGGTCTCCCAACTGGAAATACAATTGTAAAACATGTAAGCCCTATCAACATCTGTTCCCAAGTTATGACCAGGCTAAAGTTTTTTCATAAGTATATACAGTGGACCTTAAGAAATTCGGACGCCAGATATCCGGATGTTTCAGTATCCGGACGATTTTTCATCGGAACGAAATTTTTAAATGTTATTCTGTCTTGTTTAACTCGTGAATCAGATATTCGGATGCTTCACATATCCGGACAATTTGACTGAAAACCAAAGCGTCCGGATAAATGAGGGTCGCTTTAAGATCAAGGTCGGAATTCGAAGGTCAAGGTTATTGGTATCCAATAAAAGGTCTTTCCACAAAGATCCCATGTTTGAAGGATAGAAGCCCTGGCCCTTACCTTCAAAAGTTATTGCCAAGATTAAAAAGATTTTAATAGTACGTTTAAACTCCAAGATCAAAGGTAGAAGGTCAAGGTTATTGGTATTAAATAAAAGGTCTTGTCACAAGAATTTCAAATTGCAAATATGAAAGCCCTAGCTCTTATTCTTTAAAATTTATTGCCAAGATTAATGGATTTTCTTAAAACCGGAAATCTCCGAGGTCAAGGCCAAAAGGTCAAGGTATTGGCATCCAATAAATGCAATTACTACAAAGAATATATATTTGAAGTATTGAAGCACTAGCCCTATTCGTTCAAAATTTAGGGCCAAGGTTAAGATTTTTTTAAAGTAGATCAAACTCTAAGGTCTTACTATCAAATGAAAGGGCTTGTCACAAGGATTAAATATGTAAAGTATGAAAGTACTAGCTCTTACCCTTTAAAAGATATGGTCAAGGTTTATTTCTTAAAGTAGGTCAAACTCCAAGGTCTTGGTATCCAATAAAGCGTCTTCCTACAAGGATTAAATATGTGAAATATGAAAGCTCTAGCTCTTCACTGTTCAAAAGTTATTGCCAAGATTAAAGTTTTTTCATTAGTACGTAAATTTCCTGGGTCAAAATCAAAAGCTCGAGGTCGGTGGTATCCAGTGATATCCAGTAAAAGGTCTTGACACAAACAATATATTTGTGAAGTTTAAATGTAGTGGTATTTACTGTTCAAAAGTTATGGCAAAGGTAAAAATTTGAAGCTTTTGTGTAAAAGTTGGTCAAATTCCAAGGTTAAGGTTAAAAGGTCAAATATGGGGGTACCCAAAGAAAGATCTTGTTACAATGAATACAAATTGAAATATGAAAGTCACAGCTCCACTAAATCAAAAGTTATGGACAAGGTTAAAGTTTTTGCCGACAAACAGACAATCAGAGAGACAGACAGACAGACAGATGGACACGACAAAAACTGTATACCCCCTAAACTTCGTTTACTGGGGCATAAAAATCAGTCCTACATACTTACTTTATTTAGCTGTGAATGTACAGATATCTTTGATAATTTATATGAAGTCGAACCACTATTCTCTGTGCAAGTACAAAAACATTAAAATTCAAAGAAAGTAGAAAGAGGTTTTTCCATCTTTCTACTTACCTCTTTTTTGCGTACAATTGTTTTAGTTCTTTTTTTTTTTTTTGGCTTTGCGACTCTTTTTTTTCTGATAAACAGTCATTTTTGACAAAATATTTATTGAAATGATTTTAAAAAAATCGATTTCCAGTCAGAATTTCATGATTTTTTTGTATGAACAATTTTTCATTGGGAAGGGGTGTTGAGGGTGTTATATGTATTTAGTATATCATAGCTCATCTAATTAAACAAGTTATTGAATTTCAATAATTATATCATTTTTATTTCATTTTAATGCATAGGAAGAGCTTATCTGAAGGACGACATTAATTACAGTGTAAATGATGAATACGATTCTCGAGAAGGTAATGACATCGAACCTAGTTATGGTGTGACAGGTACGTTAACTTTATGGATTGTTCAAATTCTAAAATTTTCAATCAGAATTGATTGGTTAAAAACGTATTCTTTGTACTTTGGAAAAAGACAGACGACTCGTAATAAAGTAATATAGAATAATTTGTTATATTTGTTTTGTTGTTGTTGCTCATTTGTTGTTTTTATTTAGAGCTTAAACTGTATATATCATATATCAGGGTTATTTTGGCCCTGTGTTATTTTCACCCTTTCGTATATTCAAATATTTTTGCCCCGTTTTAAATTCACCCAGTTGTAGTTTTGTATAAGAAACTAGTGCTAATTGTAACGGGAACGGTTACAGATGTTCCCCAAACGCTCCCCAACTCCCTTTTGGTGCCATATTCCCTGTAATCTTCATTAAATAAGACAAATTCTGTGCATTTTCGACTTTAACAACGTTTCCCCAGAAGGATACCAAGTATTATCAAATTTTAGCATTGCACCCGCGCGCACACTATCTATATATTTAAATATACTATATATCAAATCATTCAGTCCAAAAGTATTAAAAATCACTCATTTAAGTGTATTTTTAATTTCACTCTTTCCAAATGCACGCACGTGCGTGCACGTGCATGATGACCATACCATCTTGAAGTAGTCCCTTATATCTATCTATATTCTAAATCCCATCCTGTTTGGTTGAAAAACAAGGGAGTTATAGCCATTTCAAGTTTCAGCCAATCAGATTGCAGCACACGTGCATGCGCGTGATTTCATGAATTTTTTTCTATATCGTATTGAGGACATCCTAATGAATGACTATGTTTCAAATTTCAAAACATTTCGTCAAAAAACAAAGGAGATATAGCCATTTCAAGTTTCAGCCAATCAGATTGCAGCACACGTGCATGCGCGTGATTTCTTCAATTTGTTTGTATATCATATTGCAGGATATCCTAATACATGACTATGTTTTAAATTTGAAAGCATTTCATCAAAAAACAAAGGAGATAAAGCCATTTAAAGTTTCAGCCAATCAGATTGACGCGCATGCGCATGCACGTGATTTCATGA